TCAACGACAGCCCCCCCCGCACAGCCCCTCTGGCAGGATTCCTGCACCGGCTGCCCTGCCTCCTCCCCTGCTTCCATGGGCGTTACATGTTATTTTGTGCTTCTCAAACAAGGAAGTCTGCCAAGACCTGAGACTAACCAGACCACCACGGATCCGTTCCGCCCCCGCCACCGACTTACTTGCGGATTTCCATGGCTTCTTTGTTATCGTGCCTGAAGAAGTCATAGGACTTGTAAGACTTCACCGCTTCCCGGCGATACACTCCTAAATTAAACACTTGACACAAAAAAGAGGAGCGCGTGAGACTGATGGCGTTTCGCAGGCAGATCCCACAGCGCTTTCGGCGAAGGGCAGAGCCATCCCCACGCCGGGCCGAGCCGGTGGCCCCCGCACACACCTTTGGTGGGCACCCCGATCCAGTTGAGGTAGCGGGTGAGCTTCTTGGACACGTAGGTCTTGCCACGTGCGGGCAGGCCGATCATCACGATCAGCGTCGGGGAGTTGGTCATGTAGGAAGCCCATGCTGGAAAAAAAAAACAACCAACCAACCCCGGGAGCATCAGCAGCACTGTGGAGCAGCTGGGGGCAAAGAGTGAGCCCCAGCCCAAAGCCATACCCCGTGCAGAGCTGCCCCATCTCCTGGGACGACTCCTAACGATGTTCCTCTCCATCGTGTCCTTCAGCTAATTAACTGCTGTGAGCAGCGCCCGGACCGCTCTGCGGTCTCCCGGGCATCAGCTAATGAGGCGGATGAGCAACGGTGCACCTGCTGCACCTAATGGGTCTAATATGCACCTTTTAGCCTTAAAAATATTTACGGATCAGGCAGGAGCTGTCAAGGCCAGAAGAAAAATGTTTTTAACAAAACGGTCACGTTCTCTCAGAAAAAAAAAAGGCGAAGGGAGCTCAGAAAACGCCCGGGGAGAGGCAGGTTTGGGGGAAAAGCAACCCAAGGGGATGATTACGGCATCCCGAAGTTCGGAAAACGAGAGGATGGGGGTGAGCAGCGCCGGGCATCCGCGGGAGGGGAAAAGCAGCGCAGCCACGCGGGAAGGGCACCGGCACGTCCCGCACA